CAAAAAAAAAAAAAAAAAAAAAAGATGGATACACCCATTACAAGGATGCCCTATAAAACACGTGAGCAACACACCCTCAAATATTACCAAGACAACCTCTGGGCAGAAGGAACAGGGAGGAACAGAATCAGGTCACCCAGTTGTAGAAAAGACACTATGGACTTGAAAAACAACTTTTGAAATGCTTTTTAAACTTACGATTCTTCTAAAAGTGAAGTAAATAATATTTAATTCTCATTTCATTTCCTACAGGAATTATAAGAATGTATCTGGCATAATTAATATAAAAAACAACAAAAGATGACTAGCTACCAGGTACATACAAAGCAGCTTCCTGACTATTTGGAGGTGGGAAACATACTGAGAAAGGCCTGGGCTGACGCCACTACTCACCGCCCGCGCCGAAGTTGACCACGTACTGAGAGAATAGAGCATCCAGCTCATCATACTGCACCAGGGCATCCTCAAACTGCTGCAGCATCTCGAAAACAAAGGCCAGCTCCTCCTATTCACCAAGTGAATTGTTAAAGAAAATGAAACACAAATCAACACGTGGCCATTTAAGATTACAACAGAGAAAAACACATAGCACTGTGAACAAGGTCTGCCTATACTAAGAACATGTCAATGTTCACACATACACGAGAAACAGGGAGAGGCCAAGATAATTCCTGAACACCCTCCTGGACCCATCAGCAGCACTGGATATGATGGCCACCCTCACCCTTGGGATTTTCCCTGCTGTCCAGAACACCCAGCCATCTGCTTCCTCTCCCCCTCCTGCTGGCTCCTTATCTGAAGGCTGCTTTCTCTCCTCCCCAGGTTCCCCACTGGAGGCCCCAAGGCTTGGTCCTTGGACTCACTTTCTACCCATACTCTTCCATCTCAGAGTCTTACCAACCCATGGCTTTATATACCAATGGCGCACTATGATCACCAAATTGATAACTCCAGTCAGACCAGACCCGTGCCTAAACTGTGTGCACGATGTGCTCCCCTGGATGCTTAACAGACACCTCCAGACTGCAGGTGGAAACCTGACTCCAGACTTTTCCTGCCATGTGCTTTTCATTCCAGTCAGTAGCTGCCCACCCCATCTAGAGAACCTTACATCCTTTCAAGGCATCCCCAGGCCATGAGAGGTCTGCCCCCTACCCATTCCCAGTGCTACCTCTCTAACCTCACTCACTCGGCTCCACCAAGGCCACCTCACTCTTGCTCACACTTGCTGGGAGCACAGTTGCCCCCAGGGCCTTTGCACTGCCTCTTCCTATGGCCTGGAACTCTTCTTAACCCTTCCTCTAAGTACTCACATGGCTTGTTCCCTCAACATCCTTCAGATTTGGCTACATCACTGGCTCAGTGAGGCCTCTCCTCAACTCTGTCCTCACTCCAGCACCCCAAACCTTCTTTGCTTCTCAGTACTTTCATCCTGCCATCCGTGTAATTTCCTTGCTTGCATCCCCCACTATCATACATGCCAAGAACTATCTAATGATATTGTCCTAGCATCTAGAAGTGCCTGGCACATGCTGCACCTTAATGTTTGTCAAATGAATATGCAAAGATATCGTCACAGATGTTTTTTTTTTTTCCTGATTTCCATTGCTATATATGCATAAACCTACACCCTGGCACATTCAGCTCTCTGGAATCCACTTCCACCAATGTATTTGTGGATACTATTCCAGACCCCTAAAGGCCTATCCCGCTCACTGGGGAGGACAGAGAACACAGACGGAATCCCCACAAACTGGTTCAGATCCAGAGGCTAGCACCTCCCAGCTACAACTGCATTAACTGGCTAAGCTATGCCTCAGAATCCTTCTCTGGATAATAAGTGCCCCTCACATGAGCTTTCTGTATGAGGATTAAAGCAATTTCTGTACATGTGCAGAAGAGTCCTGGCACACAGTGAAGCGGGAGTTTTGTGTTCACTTCTACCTTCTATGTCAACTGGGCCTGTCCCTACAGAGTCCAGCTTGAAGGGCTCCTTCAAGCTCTCATGTGTATCTCACTTCTCCTCACAACACTGCTGGGCAGTACTTTACAAGAGAAATTGCTAAGTTCCTTTGAACTTTCTTTTCTTTATGAGGTGCTTCAGGACTGAACACTCCTGTAAACAAATTTTTTCCTTTGTAATTGTGTGGTAAGGATACATACATAAAATCAACTATCTTAACCATTTTTAAGAGTACAGCTAAGTGGTGTTAAGCATATCCCACTGCTATGCCACCATCACTAAAATCCATCTCCCAAACTTCCTCATCTTCCCAAGCTGAAATTCCTTCCCCATTAAACACTCACTCCCCACTCCCCTCCTGTAGTCCCTGGTACCCACCATTCTGTTTCCTGTTGCTATGAATCTAACCACTCTAGGTGCGTCATATAAGAGAAATCATACCATATCAGTGGCTTATTTCACTCAGCCTAATGTCCTCAAGATCCATCAGCGTGTCTCGAACATCCTTCCTTACGCATTTTTAATTCTGAACTAATTTTACACTTACAGTACTACAAAAAATTTAGGTTTCCATAAAGTCTTTGCTCAGCTTCCTGTAACATTAATATCTTACATAACTGTAGCACAATTGTCAAAACCAAAAAATTAGCATTAGTAAAATACTATTTTTTTTTTTGAGTCAGAGTCTCACTTTGTTGTCTAGGCTGAAGTGCAGTGGTATGATCATGGTCCCCCACAACCTCGACCTCCTGGGCTCAGGTGATCCTTATGCCTCAGCCTCCCAAACAGCTGGGACTATAGACGTGTACCACCATGCCTAATTTTTCAAATTTTAGTAGAGACGAGGCCTCGCTATGTTGTCCAGGCTGTTTCTGAACTCCTGGCCTCAAGTGATCCTCCCAGCTCAGCCTCCCAAAGTGCTGGGATTATAGGTGTGAGCCACCATACCACTCTGAGGGCTATTAACCAAATACCCCTTATTTGAAGTTTAGCGGTTTTTCCACTGATGTCCTTTTTTTCCTGCTCCAAAGTCCACATTGCACCAAGTTGTTGCTTCCCTCCTAAATGACAGCCTCTAGCAGTTTGTCAGTTTCTCAATCTTTCTTTGTCGTTCCCTGCCTTGGCACCCTTGCACCAAGTTGTTGCTTCCCTCCTAAATGACAGCCTCTAGCAGTCTGTCAGTTTCTCAATCTTTCTTTGTCGTTCTCTGCCTTGGCACCCTTGAAGAGAGCTGATAAGTTGTCAAATGTTCCTCCATTTGGGTTCATTGATAGGTTTCCATGATGGCCATGAGATTATTTTCTGCAGAAAAAGGATGTTACCAAGGAGTTCATGGAGTGGAAGTGACTTCTTATGGGTGAAGGTGGCCTTGCTCATCTGATTCAGGTGGTGTGTACCAGGTTTACCCACTGTGAAGTGGCTGATAGGCAGCTTGGGAGAGATACTGTGAAACCACAAACCCACCTCTCCTCAGGTCTTTGCCCACCACTCTTAGCTTCCATCAATAATCCTGTCTCTAATAGTTCTTGCTATAGTGTTTGCCTAAAAGTGGTCCTCTATTTTTCTTTCCCTCTACATTTATCAAGTGGAATTCCTCTATAGTTGACCCTTCTCTTTCATTTATTTATTTATAGACTCATGGATATTAATTTTATACCATGGGTTAAAACTTGACTCTTATCATTCTTTGTTGCTCAAACCATCTGGTTTTGGCCAGTGGAGGCTCCTCTGGATGATGACTATGTTGTTTTGCTGGATTCCCATCTTCTTTTGCGCCCTTCTTTACATTCTGTTCTACAACATATTCCAGGTCTTTTTGCATATTGTACATATTTCCTGCCCCAGCCCTATAATCAACCCCTTCTTTAAGGAGCCCTAGTATCTTTTATTAGAGAATGAAGTTTAGAAACCAAGACCTTGCACTAGATGTGCTCCCTACCACTAGGCTGTCATCGTTCCTAGTCCCCATCAGTGTATAGAGTAAGGAAATGGATGCAGAAGTGCTAACCCTCACACACAAACACATATTCATTTACGAATCCACCTACCTATCCAACCTTCTAGCCACTCACCCATCTATCATCCATCCATCCACCATTGGTCCATCCATCATCTATCTATCCACCCATCCATCCAACCATCCATACACCCACCCATCATCCAACCATCCATCCATCCATCCATCCAATCGTGGGTTCACACTGATACTTCCAAGTACAATCCAAAACCACTGGCTTCATTCACCCTTTCCCTTTCCTAGTTTCAAATTCCCAGAGATGAAGCTTAATAAGCCTTGAAGGGTAAGGAATCAGGGTACCCAGAAAGGTATACAATATATCAACCACACGAGAACTATTAATATGTTCAAATCCCCTTATATGTGCCAAGTCTTCCAAATGCCTCTAAGAGATAAGCATCAGAATACAAAATAAAAATTTCTAATCACAATGAGTTTTTTATTTATTAAAAGTATTATTTTTTCAGTAATTAATACACAATTGATATCTAAATATGGAAATATTTTTTTTCAGTCAAAAGAAGAACAAGAAGAAGAAGACCTAAGAGCAAAACTGCAGTGTTAGAAAGGGCTTCTACAATTACACCCCCTTTTGTTCACTTAAGACTTTTCTTCTTAAAAGGGAAAAAGAGCTGAATTTTAACAGCCCAAACATTTTGGTAAATTATTGTAAAGAAGTTAGCTCATTAATACACTAATTTATTGGAACCCAAGGTTATAAAAATAAATAAATAAAACTATAGAGGAAACATTCCCAGGAAGTCATCTAACCACAGTGCCTACCCAGCAGGTAATGAACCAGCACCTTCAGCAACAGTACCAGCGCCCCCTGCTGGGACGCCTCCACATAACTCACTTTCACCTGGAAGGCCTGAGACAGGAGCAACCCGGAGACTCCTCTGAAGACAAGGCTCTCTAGGACTAGGCTGAACGCCAGCACTGGAACAGCAGGGGAGCTGGCGGAGTACTCCCGTTAGACCACCTCTGCTTTTCTGCTTTATAAGCCAGGAAACAGAAACAGCTGCTATATCATAGTCTGGCTGTTATATCATAGTCTCTTGTCTTTAAAAACTCCGCCAATGAAAATTACTGCGAAAGAGCTGCCTTATTTAGAAAGAAGGAGGGAAAAGAGGAGGAAGGGAAAGAGGGAAGAAGGAAACTGTCTAGGTCTGTAATTAGTCAAGTACCTGGACCATGAAATATTCACAAAAGCTCCAGCCTGGCTCAGTCCTCTTCTCCCTTAAGGTTCTCATGTCATCCTCAAACTTGCCTAGGTTTTTGGTAAATGACATAAGAAGCAATGTCCTGAGTTTGGTCAGGAAGGCATTCCAGGATTCCTGAGTTCGAGAAGAGTCCTTCAAGGGGTCGGAGAGCACGACACACCTGCAAGACATGAAGGGACTATCTGGGAAAGACTCTCCATGCACAGCATCATCACTTGGCAATTGTTACTTTCCTGAGCATCAGTTTAGTCCCTTCGTCCTCCCTCCCACTCTCCTTTCTTCCTTAAATGGTAAAACATGAGGCAGGCAGTAAGAAACCAGGTTAGGAAAAGGTATCATCATAAACTGGTTTACTGCCTCATGAGCAGGAAAGGTTGCAGAAATCCCAAGAGTCTGCTGCAGAAACAACTGGAAAAGGGGAGAGGAATTTATGAGCCTCGGCCTCAGACCTATCTCCAGGTTCCCTGTAAAGTAAGGTGATCACATCCCCCACTCAGTTCCCTGTCTCCTTTTGGTTTCTTGGGATCAAAAAGATTAAATTCGATTTCCCGGCACAGCACATGAAGCCCATGACAACAAGGATCAAACCTAGCTGTCCAGCTTTACTTCCTCATTCCCTGCTCAAGCTCCCTGAACTCCTCACCCTCCCTCCACTTCCTCAGCACTGTTCTCACCTCCCAGAACTGTTCCTCCCCAGCCCCCACTGTGATCACCACCAGGCTGGGGACTTCATGGCCAGGCACTTTCCCTCTGCAGGTCTGTCTCCCCCATCAGCTCTTCAAAGGCAGGGTTAATGCACAATTAATAGAGGCTCAGAACATAGCTTAATATGCAAGTCAGACACAATTTAACTAAAAAGAGACTGTACCCATGATGTAAAAATATCGACATAATAAAATTATAAGAAAGTTTCCAATGGATTTGGAAAAGGCAATGCATTCATCCAACAGGTTGGAAATGGCAACTCTCTTTAGCCTTGATAGTAATTTGGAAAGAAGATGAATAAATCCAAACTCAGAAATAATTTTAGAATACTGACGCTATGAGCGTCAATATTTTTCTTTAGTACACATTTTACCGGAATGACCAACAAGTAGATCTAAGTTTCCTTTTCTCTGTGCCCCAGCAGAGCCTTTGGAGGCATGGCTAAATCTATAAGATTATAGGTCAGTGGACAAAAAGGTGAAACAGCATACATTACACATGTTACACCATGTGAATAATCAGAACCAAGAAGAAAACTTAAAAACCTGTCACCAGCTTTGATTCCAGTCAATCTACCCCACTGGACACTTTCTTCCCTGAAAGACCAGAAAGGACCAGAACCAGCTCACCCCAAGGTCTCTCAAAGGACCAAAACGTATCTACTCACTGTACGAGCCAGCAGGATCTATTAGTTAGTAGTTTATCCTCGAGACATTCTTAAGGATTATAATTATCAGCATTTACTCCTAACCAGACACTAATTCTCCCACATACCTAAAGAGGTAGATGGAAATGGAAACTAACACAATCAACCACCCAAATGAAATTGTTTTCAGTTACTTGGTCCTTTATCAGTCAGACACAATCTATTCACTATATTCTTAATCCCTTATTATGCCCTTCAATTTTTACTGTTTCTAGAACATATCACCTTTCTTTTTTTAAATTAAAACTATCTTTCAGAAATTCACATCAAGTCTAGATGGTTAACTCAGAAAAGGAGAGCCCAAAAGAACCCATGAGGTCAGGGATGGGGGGCCAATGTGGAGAGCAGCAATATCTTCCGGGGTGCACAGACTTCACGGGCTGCTCACCGACACACATGTGGCACTGAGAGCCCAGGCTGGAATCTCAGTGAATCACGAGGCACATACAATAAACAAGACAACCCTTGTTTTACCAACTCTGTATTTACCAAAAGCCTGAAAAAATGCACAAAAACTTTTACCAAGCAATTTTCCTCTAAGAAATGTATCCTGAAATAATTAAGGATACAACATTTGGGCTATAAAGATGTTCATAAAACTGATATTTATAATAACTAAGCAATGATCTATAAGCCCAGCAGAGGACTATAAATAACTGATGGTGCATTAATACTGTGGAATGCTATATACTCACCAATGAGGGTACATTTTTTGCTTGTGAAAAATTTTTACAATATATTATGTGAAAAAAATATAAAACATTATGCACCACAGTATGATATCACTTTAAAATACACATAAGCACACACACACACACACACACACACACACACACACACACACACACACATACTATGTATGCATAAAGAGAAAAGGTCTGGAAAGATACATACCTACATACCAAAAGTTAATATTCATTTTATTTTTGCTCATTACCTTTGTCTAATAATTCCACAATGAACATGTAATATGTGCAATCAAAATTAAATACAAACATAAAGTTAAAAAAATAGTAAGCCACTTCAAGATCAAATGTTACAATATTTTCAAAGGCCAGAAAGTATACTGCATAATAAAACAATTGTACAAGCCAAGCACAGTGGTTCACGCCTGTAATCTCAGCACTTTGAGAGGCAAAGGCAAGAGGACTGCCTGAATCCAAGGGTTTGAGACCAACCTGGACAACTTGAGGAGACCTTGTCACTACAATAAATTTAAAAAGTAGCTGGGTGTGGTGGTGTACACCTGTAGTTCCAGCTACTCAGAAAGCTGAAACAAAAAGATTGCCTGAGCTCAGCAGATTGAGGCTGTGGTGGCCATGAGAGTGCCACTGCACTCCAGCCTGGGCAACAGAGTGAGATTCCTACTAACAAAAAACAAAAAATAACAATTGTACAGATTCTACTAAATTCAAATTTATGAAAATCTGATTTGGCTCAGTCTGTAATCCCAGCACTTTGAGAGGCCAAGGTGAGTGAACTGTCTGAGCCCGTGGGTTCGAGACCAGCCGGGCAACTTGGTGAGACCTCGTCTCTACAATAAATAAAAAGTTAGCTGAGCATGGAAGCATGGGCCTGTAGTTCTGGCTACTTGGAAGGCTGAGACGGAAGGGTTGCTGGAGCCCAGCAGTTTGACGCTGGGATGGCCATGAATGTGTCACTTCAGTCCAGCCTGAGCAACAGAGTGAGACTCCAACTCAAAAAAAATAAAAAGAAAATAAAAAGAAAATCTGACCAATCTATTTACATTAAAAAAATATAAAGTATAGATTTATTAAAAGGTGGCTTTGCAAATTAATGAAAATCAAACTTACTGAAAATGAAATGTTAAAAATTTTGCTAAGTTAATGTAAGTCATTAAAAAGCTAGTTGGTTTTAAATGGGCCCAGCAGAAAGCCATTTTGGGAAATTAGGTAAAGATTACAAACACAGACTTAAAAGTAATCAACAGGTACTTTGCAAAAGTTATTATACAATTTGAACATTCTACAAGTTGAGGTAATCTTTCTCATTAGTGTAATTTATTTACTTAACATAATCCCAAACAAATATGATTTCATTATATCATCAAAAGCCACAAAGGCCCCTCAGTTCTGGTTTCTGGGCCTGCCTCCATGTGGTACTAGTCAATGCTGGCCCATTCTCCCATGAGATTGTGTAACAGAGCTCTCTTCCTTCTGGGATTTATGGCAGTCTACTCTTTTTTCAGAACACAAATGCTAGCATTTAAACTAGAGAGAGAGAGAAAGGACACTCAATTACACAGTATCTTATTAAGCTGATTCCGTTTAGCTAAGTAATTTATGAATAACACATCTTTTTTTTTGAGTTGGAGTCTCACCCGTCACCCAGGCTGGAATGCTGTGGCACATTCACGGCCATCCCAGTGTTGACCTGCTGTGTTCCAGCGATCCTTCTGCCTCCGCTTTCCAAGTAACTAGAACTACAGGCACACACCACCATGTCTGGCTAATATTTTTTTTGATTTACTGTAGAGATGAGGTCTCGCCAAGTTGCCTGGGCTGGTCTGAAACCCGCGGGCTCAGGCAATCCACTCGCCTTGGCCTCCCAAAGGACTGGGATTACAGGCTGAGCCATTGAGTCCAGCCAAATAACACATTTTTTTTTGAGTTGGAGTCTCACTCTGTCACCCAGATTGGAGTGCAGTGGCCACTCCCGGCCACCGCAGCCTCGACTTGCTGGGCTCCGGCGATCCTTCCGCCTCAGCCTTCCAAGTAGCCAGAATTACAGGCATGCGCTCTACCACGCCCGGCTGATTTTTTGATTTATTGTAGAGATGAGGTCTCGCTGCCCAGGCGGGTCTCGAACCCGCGGGCTCAGGCAATCCACTCACCTCAGCCTCCCAAAGGCGCAGGATTACAGGCTGAGCCACCAAGCCCGGCTCGAATAACACATCTTAAGAAAAACTTTCCCCAAGTCCAGATTGCATGAAATTTGTCTAAGGTAAGGAGCCTTTTCTCCCAGGCAGCACACATGGGATTACTACTTACAGCTCCCTGGTCTGCCAAAACAGGAACCACGAGGACAGGGACCAGGTCTTCTTGCCAGCACCCCACAGTCACTCACTGAGACGGCTGAGTAGATGCTGACTACCTAGGAAGCCAGTTAGCTGTATCAGCCACATTTTAACCAAATAAGGTAAATTAAAGATTACTTACCTGTCACTCTGCTTATTACAAAAATCGTTTCTTATTTTGTCCACAATAGAAGTTCTGGGAAGGATGTTGGTTTTGTTTTTTTTCTTGGCATCATTTTCAACTACCACTATTAACCAGTCCACAGAGCTATGAGCTTTCAGAACATTCTGCCACTTGGTGAGGTCGTCTTTTACTGTAGCTTTATATACTTCAGTATCCTAAAAATAAATAAGTCACTGTGAAAACAAGTTAATCAATGCCCTTTTGTTTAGATGGCAAAATGTGTCTAACAACAGAGTTTAGCGGCTACAATGTTTTAAAGCACCAGGATGGCTTCTGGACTCAGGCAAATGAGGAGCCCAGAGGCCTGCCAAGCCTGCAGGCATGCTCAGGCAAGCTCAGCACTGTACACTTGGCATGTACTATCCCAAAATACTCACACACTGAGGGAAGGAAGTGTTCCAATTTTCCAGATGATGAGACTGACAATCAGAGAGCTGACTGTTGGTAAGGAGCAAACAGTCACAAAGATACTGCCTGTTAGGCAAGTTAGGGCTTTAAAACCCAGGTCTCCTGCAGCCAAAGGTTCTGTGCCCAAGCAAAACATGGCCACGACCCTGTCGGGTGCCATGCCTTGATCTTGGGAGGTGAGCTGGCTGTCACTGCACAGCTAAGGGTGCCTAGGGGAACCTCAGGCCAGCCTCCCAGCGGCTTCACCACAAGCCCTCAGCTCTGAGTCCTGGAAACCACTCCAACCTCGAAACCCACTGAGGCCATGTCAGAGGCAAGGCAGCTTCATATGTTACGTCACGGAAAGAAGGTCATCCACAGCCTCCTTGATGTTGCTCTAATTCACAAGGACTGGCAGGGAGCTATACTGGTCCCAGAAACCCACTCCATTTCTCACCCAGAGTCCCACATCGAGCCTGCAGAGAAAGTGTTCCTCCCAAACACAGGCAAATGAATGCAGCTCTGCTCTCTTCCAGATAGAACTGAGAAAACAGACATTTGCCAGTTACTTGCAACTTTATTTATATACATTCCTCTTACACTCCAGCAGATTCTAATTTCATTTAAGAAAATCTAAAGCCAAGATACTCTCATTTCAAAATTACGCACTAAGAGCATCTGAGAACATTAATTAGCAGCTCGTATTCAAATATATACTTTCTCCTTATTTCCTGCCCTTATTCTTTGAATTTTTTTAGTCACTCCTGATTACACTTACACAAACATACACTAACTTGATTGATCCAGAAGTAAGCTAAATCTTAAATCCTGTATCCAATCCCTCTTTTGGTTTAATTCACTAAATGGCAAGTTCCAAAAGGCAGTGTTTATCATTTTTATCCTGATTTTTAAAATTATTTATTTTAAATGATAAACTAATTTGTTTTAAATTACAAGTGAATACAATCTGAAAAGATCTTTTACTTAGAAACTGAAAGAAAAATCATCTTGCAAAAATTAACTTTCTACAAATATGTATCTAACTGTAACTTACAGTGCACATTTTCCATAGAACGAAAGTTTTTAGGACTTGATGTTTTGATTTTACAAACTGATATACTACTCTATCTCCAGGAGCCCCCAGTACATCACACCTGTAATCAAAACCAGAGGACAGCAGGACCAACAGTCTTCGACTCCAGCTGTTTTAAAAGCAAAGAACAGAGAACACAGCACCCGTTCCCCCAGGTCTGCACATCACAGGTAAGCCATCCAAGGAGATGGTAACAGCCTCTCTGGTCCATTACAAGGCTTCAGGTGCCAGCAGGCACTTCCACCTGAACTCCTGCCTATCCCCACTGCTGGTGAAGAGTCCTGGCTCCAGGATCTCCACACCAAGCTGAGCCACCACAGTTGTGCCACCAGAGCAGCTCTGCTTGGTTAGTCTACAGAGACTCTCCAGGAGAGACCTCACAGAGGAGAAGGCAGGACAGAGGGAGAACACAGACATTCCAAATAATTCTGAGGAAAACTGGGGGACATGACCTAGCCTGTCACTCATCCCAGTTAGCAAACAACACAACATTATGAAAATGACTCCATGACTCAAGGAAATCAAGCTTCGCCAGTGAAGCTCAGGTTTCCAAAGAAAACAAAGCTACAGTGGGAAAAACCCCCAAGCAGAAAAGGTGAGCTGAATGTGGGGAGGAAGGTGCCTGGGATGGAGGTAGCAGCCAGGCAGACATCAGGACCCACGTGGGATGAGGGCATTCACGCAGGAAGGTGCCTCCCCAGGCAGCAGAGCTCAGCAGGTAAGGAGGGTATCCAAGTGGTGGCAGAGGGAGGTACAGCACAAGATTTAGGACCCAAAGTGAGATGATGAGCCAAGAGGGCATTCCCAATGGGGAATGACCTCATGAGAGTGTTGTGGGTCAGGTGAGGTGAGGAGAAAGCTTATGCTGGGTGCAGAGTCAGTTAAGTGCAGGAACAGAGCATACACCTGTTGGGCACAAAGCAGCAGTGACAGGTAGAATGGTCACTGGCAGGAGAAGTATTCCAATTAACAGACACATGGAGGAGAGTGCATACCTGGCTCCTCCCTGTCGGAGAAGGGAGTTATAAAAATGGAAAGGGAGAAAATTAGAATTAATCCTACAGTTCTGGATTAGAATTGGATTGTGTGTGTGTGCACATATATGCATGTACATGGGCACCTACACACAGAAATAAACAGATGTAATGTGTGCAAATATACACACCCCGCTCGCATTCTCTAACTATGTCCACTGAGTGCTCACTAGCAAAAAGCACACCTAGCTCCAGATCTTGGTTTCTAAATACAATCTTCCACTAAAAGAAACCAAGGCTCCTTGGAGAAATGGCTGACCCCAGTTCTGGGTGGTTCCCGGGCAGCTGAGGCATGGGTAGAACCAGAAAGCCCAGAATATTTTGTGTCTGAGAGAACTCAAAAAGAAGTATGCTTCAGAGGGTCACATAAGCCAAAACTGGGACAATCTGCATATCAATAGTATTAATTATTAATATTACTACTATGGTAGTAATAGAGTATACTCCATTAAAAACTAGGAATCATTGAGTGTATACTGATATCCATTAGTAGTGGGACTACTGCTACTAGTCAAAGTGAAGTGGCAGGGACCAGATTTACACTATCCCTGGAAACAACAATAACAAAAAACCCCCACAAATACACAATTCAATTATTTTCAAAACCCTGGACATCAGGCAACAAAGGAGAATAATCCCCAACCCCAAGACAGGACACAAGCCAGGTGGGTCCTCCAAGTGCCCCAGTTGAGTACTATGAGGGCACAGGGAGGTAAACAGAAGTGAAGCCTGGCAGTCTTCCTGAGTTGAGGACACAGGGCACTCCACAGGACTTCATAGTACAGCATGCTATAAAGAAGAGGTACAGAGAGAACCCTGGAGATCCACAGAGGGTCCTCGAGTATTCTGCAGGGAACTGATCAGGAAGCAAGTGCAGGAACTACTCAAAACTAGAACAGGATCATCAGACAGAATCAGAGGCACAATCTTAGCACTCACACAGAGCCAGGAGCAGGGCCTGTCCCCAAAGCCAGAATGGGAAACCAGAGAACTCAGGACCATCTTGCCTCCTTGGTTAGGAGTAATTAGTCCTACAGGGGTCACTGCTCTAGATCCATAAAATTATAAGAGCTTTATAAGTAACTTAACTGAACAAAGTTCATGAAAATTTAGAAGAGAGCAAAAATACCCAGTTTCAAACAAAATAAAATTCATAATGTCTGGCATCCATTACAAAATGTCAGGCAGACAAAAGAAATAAGAATATACAATCAAAAATAAGTAGAAAAATCAGTCAGTAGAAATAGACCCAGTAATGACACAGACAGCAGAATTAGTAGACAAAATAAATAAAACAGTCATAGTAGCTACTGTAACACATTTCATATGTTCAAAAATGTAGAAGGTCGCAGATAGCGTTAGCTCCTAAAAGAAGGGGACTGAAGTCAAGCAGACACATGGAAGATATTTAATTAAGAAGGTAAAGACCCACATGGAACTTCTAGAGATGGAAATAACAATGTCTTAAATGAAGAATATACCAGGTGGAATTAGAGCTAATTAGATGTTGTAGAAGAAAAGATGTTCACATGAAGACACAGTAGCTGAAACTATCCAAATGAAACACACAGAGAGAAAAAAAAATACCAATAAAATATATATATTTGGAGTCCTTAAAAGAGAAGAGAAACAAAAAATATTTGAAGAAATAACGACAAAAATTTTTCAAAATTATATCAAAATTATAAACCCCCAAAGCCGAAAAACCTCAAGTACAAGAAATATGAGGAAATCTACACCAAAGCATATTATGATCAAATTGTTAAAATTCAGTAATAAAGAAAAAAAATCTTAAAATGCTTAAGAAAAAAAGACACTTTATATAGAAAATAACAAAAGCAAAATTAAAAGATTTCTCATGGAAAACAATGGAAACCAAAAGACAGTAGAACAACATCTTTACAGTTCTAAAAGGAAAAAAAAAAAACAAAAACTGTCAAACTAGTATTCCCTATCCAATGAAAATATTGTTCAAAGAAGAAGGCAAAACAGACTTTCTCATACATTCAGAAGCTGAAAGAACTCATCACCAACATACCCATGCTACAAAAAAAGGCTTTAATAAAATTCCTTGGAAGGAAATTCACACAAAATGAAAACCTAGATCTACACAAAGGAATGGAGAATTGTAAGAGCAAACAAGTTTTCTTATTTTTAATCTCTTTAAAATATAATTGACTCAGATGAAAACAGTAACAATGTTGTATTATATACAACAATAACCCTAAAGACTGGGAGGGAGAAAATAGAAATACAATTACACAGTTCTTATACTAGGCATCAAGTAATATAACACTTAAAGAGAATGTGGTAAGTTACAGACATACACTGTGAAAACTGAAAGCAACTACTGAAATAATGCAACAAAGAATTTTACTTTTAAATTTAAAATCCTAAATATTATCAAACATACTCAAGAAACCTTTTTTAAAATAGATAACCAACACTTTAAAAAAATAAAAATAAAAACAGGCTTCCTATAAGAATGTTAATTTTAAGGAAAAGAAACTTTCAAGATAGCCACAAAAACTGAACTTAAAAATAAAAATGAGCCAGGTACAGTGGCTCCAGCCTATAATACCAGCACTTTGGGAGGTGGAGGCAGAGGCGAGAGGGTTGCCTGAACCTAGGAGTTCGAGACCAGACTGGGCAACCTGACAAGACCCCGTCTACAATAAATAAAAAAAAATTAGCTGGGTGTGGTGGCACAGGCCTGTAATTATAGCTACTTAGAAGGTGAGGCAGAAGCATTGCCTGAGCCCAGAAGGCCATGGTGGCTGTGAATGTGCCACTGCACTCTAGTTTGGGAGACAGAGTGAGACTCCAACCCAAAAATAATAATTAAAATAAAATAAATAAAAATGCAAGACTTTTATTTAAAATATTACATTACTGAAGGACATATGAAAGGCACAAAGAATGGAAAAACATAGTATGTTACCAAATTTGAGACGTTTCATGATTAAAATTCTTCTCAAATGAATCAATAATTTAATTCAAGGAAATCCCAATCAAAATGCCTCCAGTCTTCTCTTTTTCAACTGATGTTCCAGTTATCTACTGCTACGTAACAAACCCCTCCACGCTACATTGATTTAGAAGTTTCTGTTGCTTACAGATCGATAACCTGAGAGGACTTGGTAGGGACAGGGATCTCTGCTCCACCTGGTGTAAACAGCAGTGCTTTAAGGCTAAGAGCTAGAACACACACAGCAGATCTCAGCTGGGACTGGGGCAGAACACCTCCAGGTGGAAAATGGGGTTGCTTGGTTTCCTCACAGCATGGTGGTTGGGTTCTAAGAACAAGCATCCCAAGAGAACCAGCAGAAAACACATTCCTCTTATGACTTGGTCTCGAACACCATAGTGTCACTTCTGCCACAGTCAGAGGCCCACCCAGGTCAACTGGAGTAAACATACAGATCCAGCTTCTCAACAGAGGAAAGTCACAGTCACATAGAAAGAAGTACAAGGGATATGTTGGTATAGCCATATTCAGAAAACAGTGTGCACACTTGACATATGGAAGAGAAAATATATACTAGCCAAGAGGTTTATTTTAAAAGAAAGATATCAATACATATTATAAAAATGCAATAATTGAAAGTCTGATTCTGGCACAGAATGAACAATAATCAACAGAACTAAAGTGTTCAGAATATTATGCAATCAAGATGTTTGTTTAAAAAAAGGTGACGTTTCTAGTAAGCAGAGAAAAGACAGATCATAATAAAATGATGTTAGGCCAATTTGCTTCCCATTTACACAGTAAAATGAGACCCTCAACCTTCACAGCTTCTGCCTACATAAAAATAAATTAAAGCCATACAGGTTCAAACATAAGACACAAATTATAAAATAATTAAAATAAAACAGAGGAGAAAAATCATTTGTCTTCAGAAAGACAAGGCCTTCCTAAGCAAGATATACTACTCAGAAACTGTTTTTTAAATGACACATCTCACTCCATAAAAATGTTAATAGTGCCGGTCTTGGTGGCTCAGCCTGTAATCCCGTGCCTTGGGAGGCTGAGGTGAGTGGATTGCCTGAGCCCGCGGGTTCGAGACCCGCCTGGGCAACTTGGCGAGACCTCATCTCTACAATAAATCAAAAAATTAGCCAGGTGTGGTAGCGCGTGCTTGTAGTTCCAGCTCCTTGGAAGGCGGAGGCGGAAGGATTGTCAGAGCCCAGTAGGTTGAGGCTGCAGTGGCCGGGAGCGGCCACTGCACTCCAGTCTGGGCAACTGAGTGAGACTCCAACTCAAAAAAAAAAAAAAAATGTTAATAGTTATAAATATCTACATACTAAATAATACATGAACCACCTATACAAAACAGAAACTACAGAAGATACAACAGAAATATATGATCATATATACTTACCTCAAGCCTACAGCCAGTATCTTACTTAGTGAGGAAAACCCTACAGGTACAAGGCAAAGACTCCAACTCCCCTCGTACTTAACAATGTTTTAGACCAGAGAAAACAGTGCAGGACATAGTTAAAACTACCTCTATTTGCAAATGACTTAATAGAATACCTGGAAAACCCTAGACTTTGGGGGCCTAGAGGATCAATGATAAACTAACTCAAATAATAAAATAATTCAAAAAGGTTAACATGAAAATAAATCAATAGCTTCATATACCCAAAATATAACTAATCAGAAGATACAATGGGAGGGAAATCCCCATTTACAACAGCAACAAAAATATCTAATTGGTATAATCACAATAAAAATACCCAAATTAAACATGCCAGAGTAACTAAAACAACACTGAAAAATATGAAGCTAAGGGAACATTAAAACACACTATTACTATATACTGTCAGTCTAGGAAAAGTATTAACTGAGCTTTTCTTAGTAGTTCTGTCTGAAGTTGTGGCATGTTTGTACAATTCGCATGTTTGTACAATTCTAAAACTACCTTATGCATATCTTAGCATGAGAAAATAAGTAAATGTGCTGGTGTTGTTAAGAGTAGACACAAACATGGAATTGAGAAGGCAAGGAAGGACCTGAAGGGTTGATACTGGAGGCATCAGTGCCAACTCATGGTTTCTAAGGCACATCCTTTCTCACGACAAATCTGGAACAACTTGAGGATCAGAATATGACTAACTGTAACCACTGACTAAACAGAAATCCATCTGGGCTCTTCCTCCGAGTAGAGGACAAGCTGACAAAGGTAGGAGGGGGTCAGCAAACTAAAAAAAAAAAAAAAAACTGGTTTAGGAAAGTGTCGGGAGAGGATGTGATATAAGGAACAGACCAGCACTGCCACTGTAGCAGGCCTTGGGTAAAGGTCCCAAGTGAAGGCAAGGTCTCGTTTAATGGCCCCAAGTAAAGGGAAGGTTTCGCTTAATGGCCCCTCATAAACAAGGTCTCGCTTGGAAGCTCCACAGCCTAGTCAAAGGTAGGCTGTGAGGGATGCAGCCTACTACAAGAAACAATGTCTCAGATGTATCCGGGTACACAGACTACAGATAAAACCTTAACTACAACAAAATAACTACAAAGCAGCTCACCTTTTAGGTAGCAACATAATTCCATTATAGCTCCCTCACAGACCTTAAATTCCTTCCAGCTTCCCTTGTACTTGATTATAAAATAAACGTGCTGAGCTAGTTCCGGGTCACTTCTCCTCCATCAGAGGAAAGTGTCCCACCTAACCCCAACTTTTCTTTATGTCTTTGTATCTGTGTCTTTCTTAACCATCAAAGCAGCCGCAACAGGCCATGACAGAAAAGAATCAGCATTGGATGCTAACCTAAGTGGAAAAGCTGAATGAGGAGCAGGATACCTATGTGGTCTCAGAGAGCTCTCCAGAGATGGCTCCTTAATCTCAAAGGGAAAACAGTCACCATACCAGGGAGAAACCAGACAACTCCTTGACCGAGTGATCAAAACTACCATTGAGGGGTTACAGAAAGCAGAGTTCACGTAGCGGGTCTGGGGCAGCAATCTTCCTTAAGTCTGCTTGTAAGGTTGGCCTTTGGCTACATCTGAGAATTTGGATTCTGGGGCGTTCCCATCACTCTGTGATAAGATCTCACTAGGCCTACACTGTTAGTACACACAATATGTCTATGCTAAACACTGGTTCTACTTCTGGAGATGTGGAATGTTGGTACATGCCTGGCAGCGGGGACCTATGTGACCAGTCTCAACAAAACCCCAAGCAATGGGTCACTAGTAAGCTTCCCTTCATGTGATAGCACACTCATTGCTGGGGGAATAAAGCTCATCCTACATGACTGTCCTGGGAAAGGACACAGCAAATTTGGCAAAGAGAAAGGATACATGGATAAAGTCAGGAAAACCAGCCACAGGCTTCCAGAGACCTTCTCATTAAAATCACAGAAAAGTACCTCTACACCCTTAGATTGAGGCTACAATGTCATAGTGTATAATGATATGTGTACTTCATGTATTGTTAAATGCTTGCTTTACTAGAGTCAAAATACACAGGAAGAAATGACTCAGAATTTTCAATCACTTCATTACAGAAGAATTCTGTCAAGAATGAAAAGGTTCTTTCTGAGTTCATGAACATACAGTTTGGAAACACAAGTGAAGGCTGCAACAGTGCAGCACTAACATCCACTCATTCCACAGAGGGTGGCAGAATGCTTCTTGTGTAGACATGGTGTTCATAAGGAAAACGTAGTCCCCAGTCTGAGCAGGGTCACAGCCAAGTAGAAGAGACAACATGGGTTATCAAGTACAATAAGGGCCACAATGGGGTGCACAGTTGTCATGCAAACAATATGGAAAGTCAAAACTAAATACAGTCAAACTGCGTAAACACAGTGGCCACCAGGGCACAGTCAGATGGTTGACAACCCTCCAAACACAGGAACACGAGTATACTCAGCGACCATGAGAGTGGTACACAGAGCAAAGCAGAAACACACAACAACAAACCACACCCTGGCCAAGGAATGAAGGGAAAATCCAAACAAGGAGTATAGTAAAAAGTAAACTGGCAAACTTACAACCATCTTCCCAAACCCAGCACCATGATTGCTTAGTCCTATCCCAGTGTACTTCCCTTCCTGAGTGAATACTTACACAGCACTCTGTCCAGTACATGTGGAGGAAAGGGAAGGTCAGCAGAGCTCTGTTTCCTTCTTTGGGCAGCAGCTCCTCTTTGAATTGAACAAAGTTAGACTCTAGATGAATCATCTTGGGAGCCCGGCCATAGGACCTATAAACAATGTTTTAAAAGTCACTGAGAAAGCAACCAAACAATGTTCATCAGAAAAGGGGAAATTTAAAGTACTTTAATTATACCTATGAGTTCAGAAGTATTTAGAAGATGAACCCTGAATCATAACTTTAATATTCTATCCAAAAACAGTCAACGAACTCTTAAACACACTGACATTTACACGTCATAGCTCCCCATCCAACAAATCTTCCATTTTTCTCAAGGATACAGCACAGTAATACATTCATATAAGTGTTCAGTTTAACCAGGGCCACTGCAGAATTCTGCGAACAATGGGTTTTACTTACAGTGTAACTCAACCTATAATTATGTTACTAGAGAAGAGAAAGAGCATTCCAAATAGCCAAAGTATAGTTTTAAGTTATGAAGGCTTTAAGGTATGCTAGTACTTTTGGAACAACTTGTTTTATCTAAGAAACAAAACTATTTGGTGAAAGAAAACAGATTTTTGTTTGCAGAGCACAAATAAAATAGTGGTACAAATCTGTACTTTATTCTCCACCCAAGAAGACTGAACCCATGGAGTATTCCCACAAGCTCCACACATCTCATCTAAGGCTACCAGAGGCTACAGATGCCACCTTACTGCACTTCTAAAAATGAATGATGCTATGTAGATCTTGGTACCATACCTTTACTTCCCACCAATAATCAGAATTACATGAGCATAAATAATAAAAGGAAATCCTGTATGCGCACCATGGTAAAAATCAGATCACCTGTACTGATAAGACAATCCAAACATTTTCCAAAAATAATATCTGATCTTACCAGAAATAAGTTTTCCAAGAAGATGATTCCTAGCCAATGATTTCCTCTGAATAAACCATCTGATGACCCATTACACACGCCCCATAGAGCATCTAGGATGGCTGATGTGGCCTCTCTTCTAATGTTTAAATAACATCTTTCTGTAAACCTCCTCATCCTTAAGAAAAGTACATGGAGCTCAGAGTAGAGGGAGGCTCTTGGGACACAGCAGATACAGTCCATCTTCTGCTTTAAGGTACAGTCTAAGTGAGCTCATGTCCCTTTTGCAAAATGCCTGTGCTTTTAAGACATTCTTAGCTAACCACAAAGAAACACAAGTCACTCCTATAAAAGTGAGTCTTTAACTCAAAAGAATTGTCTTTTTTTTCTGGTTCAAATTCTTTTTTAACCTTTAAATTTTTTATTTTAAAGATGTGGGGTACAATTCTGAGTTAGGTTTCATTATGCAAGTACCCTTGTTGATGAGGTGTGCCCTCTTTCCCCCTGGCAGTTTCACGCAACTGCCAATCCCACTCTGCCCCCCCCTGGCAGTTTCCCACTACTGCCAATCCCTTTCTTTCTTTCTTTTTTTTTTTTTTGAGTTGGAGTCTTACTCCGTCGCCCAGGCTGGAGGGCACCGGCACGCTCACGGCCACCCCACCATCGACTTATTGGGCTCCAGCAATCCTCCCGCCTCAGTCTTCCAAGTAGCCGGAACTACAGGCGAGCGCTACTACGCCTGGCCAACTTTTTGATTTATTGTAGAGATGAGGTCTCACCAAGTTGCCTGGGCTGATCTCGAACTCGTAGGCTCAGGCAATCCACACTCCTTGGTCTCCTAAAGTGCTGAGATTATAGGCTGAGCTACCGAGCCCAGCTGCCAATCCCCTTCTTATAGTATTATGATAAATGTTCAAGGTCTGTTTATGAGTGAGAACATATGGTACTCTGTTCTTTGTTTCTGTGATAGATCACTGAATATGATAGACTCTAAATCCATCCAAGTTGCTGTTTGTCCTTCTTTATGGCTGCATAATATTCCATTGTGTATATGTACCACATTTTTAAAATCCAGTCCAACTTCAATGGGCAGCATGCTTGGTTCCATGTTTTTTGCTATTGTGAATAGAGCTACAACAAACGTGTGTGCAGGTATCTTTTTTGTAGAATGATTTGAGTTCCTTCGGGTATATTCCCAATAGGGGGATTGCTGGGCCATATGGAAGGTCAATTTCTAGTTCTTTCAGAAATCATCACACTGTCTTTCAAAGAGGTTATACTAATTTGCATCCCTACTAGCAGTATAGAAGCGTTCCTTTTTCTCCACATCCTCTCCAGCCATTCTTACTGGGATTAGGTGGTATCTCAATGTGATTTTGATTTACATTTCTCTGATGATTAATGAGGCTGAGCACTTTTTCATGTGTCTGCTGGTTGCCCATGTTTCTTCTTTTGCGAATTGTCTATTCATGTCTTTTGCCCACTTTTTAATGGGGCTGTTTGGTTTTTTAGGAGAACTGTCTTGTTTCTACCATCCAAAATCTTGTTAAGAAAATCATCCCCTGCCTAAGCCCGCGGGTTTGAGACCCACCTGGGCAACTTGGCAAGACCTCATCTCTACAATAAATCAAAAAATTAGCCGGGCGTGGCAGCGCATACCTGTAGTTCCAGCTACTTGGAAGACTGAGGCGAAAGGATCGCTGGGGCCCAGCAGGTTGAGGCTGCGGTGGCCAGGAGCTTGCCACTGCATTCCAGTCTGGGTGACAGAGTGAGACTCCAACTCAAAAAAAAAAAAAGAAAAGAAAATCATCCTATTCCATGAAGAATAAAGCCCATGTACTATATAAAGCCCCTCCGTTTCTTTACAACAGACTTTAGAACTTAGGCTTTTCTTTTGAAAGCAGGATTTATTGAGAGGACAGAAAAGCTCCTACAGTGGGAGGGGACCCAAAGGGGTTGCCTGGGAACTTGAGTTTTTAACTTGTGCTACTTCACCTGCTCATATAAACCTCTAAAAACTGAAGAGAGGGATACAGTCACAAGCTACAGACACCATACCTTCTCCATTCCATCGGTTCTCTTGGAAGCTGCTGGGAAAGTGTTGGATAAACAGAGGTAAATAAATTCTGATCTCCAGCACCTACAAAGAGAATAAAGAGAAATTCAGTTATTGCATTTTTAGGTGAATACAGGAAAAATGGGCTCTAAAGTTTACTAAGTTAGTATTTTTAGATAATTTTATATTTAGTAAAATGACATCACAAGATTGTTTTGTACCTTTAAATTACTAGTCTCAACAAACCCAATACTTGACATGTGTTTGAACTTAACCCTCACAACATCTCCAAGAGGTGGGTATAGTTTTCCTCACAAGGAGAATGAGGACCAGAAAAGGCGAAGAACTTGCCCAAGGACACAAAGCTAAGGAGTGGTAGAGCCAGAAATTCCCACCAGCTTCGCTGTGCTCTAAGCCACTGCTGTCTTCAACTTCAAGAGAATAGGCAAAAAACTCCATGCAGAAAAGAAAACCCAAAGACATGAATATAAACTTCTATACCAAAATACACTTGGATGTTCAATCCCAGCAGGAGCTAAAGTGTACAGGCCACTTCTCATTTGCAAATATGATAGAAGGCACCTGCCAGGCATCCTCTCATCTAGTCCTCTCTAGGGGACTCCTAGAGGAAAAGAACACACGGCCCAGATTCACACACAAGGAAAGCAAGATCTAAAGGGTCCACGTGCTTAGAGCACAGAGCTGGCTGGTGGCAGACACTCGTTATGCATCCAGTTGTGTCTGACTTTATATTGCATGCGCAGTTTTAATTCAGCTCTTTTATCCTAGCTTTAACAGAAATGAAAAATCCTTTTAATTGTCATGAAATGATAGTATAACTGTACAATACTTAAGCTAAAAACCCCTTTAATACACATGACTAAAATTCTTATACCCAGAGCACCCTCTTTAAGCAAATCCATTCTACAAATTGCTTTTGTATCGATCATTAAATCATTGGGAATTGATGTGGGCCATTAACATATTTGATTATTTTGCTACCATGAACCTAAAAATAAAAGGCCTCTCAAAATTCACATAACAATATCAAGTCACTATGGAGAGCAATGGCATTTCTGGGCAGATGGTATGGTGGGTGGGCATTGGGAAGCTGACTGCACGGATCCCTACCTCAGCTCCACCACTGACTACAGACCACCCTTGGGAAGACTATTTACCTGTCCTGTGCCTCGGGGACCACATGAAAAATGGGAAAACAAGAATATCTCCCTAATAGTACAGTGGTAAGGATGAAAGGAGTCAATACATAGAAATCACCCCCAAACAAATCCTGACACATAATAGTTAAAAAGAGCTATTATTACTACATTTGTTAAGATAAAAACACTTTTATGTTTTAACTTATCACTTTTCATCTTGCTCATTTATTTGGTAGTCATCTTAGAAATCAATAAAATGAGAAAACTTTCATTTAGCTTCAGTTTTCTTATCTTTGTTTGCCAATTTCTGTTGCCTCATTTAAAAAGGTTCCAAGATTAATATATAAAAATCATTACTCTTTGCTAAGCAGAACGTAAGCCAACTAAATGGAAGCTTTCTCCTCTTTCACTTGGTTTTTTATATAAAGTTGTGCACGTGTATTCATGCATACACACACACTCTCTCACTCTCTCTCTCTCAGTCCTTGTAATAAAGTATCACTTAAATGCACAAGTAACATCTGTACAGAGTAAAGCAAGAACTGCCTCCAAAACTCTGTCCAAACTTATTGCCCCCAGGAGCCCTGCTGTACAATAAGGTTTATCCAAATGGACACTATAAAATAACCATTTCTCTCACATTCCATCAGACTAAATCCTTAGCCTGTGTTCATCTAAAAGATTATAGGTTCATCAGCACATCAGCCAAGGGCAAAGATGTGACCTGGCATAACTAGGGATTTAACCTATGAGTATTTGACCTCACTACCTGTTATGAGCTGAACCGTATCCCCCCAAAATACTATTGGAACCCTAACTCCCAGTGCCTCAGGATCAACTAGATACAATTGTACTTGAAGATTAGGTCTTCAAGGTTGATATGGTAATTAGATTAAAATGAAGTCTTTAGGGTGGACCCTCAACCAATCTGAGTGGTGTCCTTATAAGAAAATTTGGACACAGATATAAGGGATGCAGAAAGATCAACCAAGGACACAGAGAAAGGACAAGTCAAGGAGAGACCTCAGAAGCCAAACCTGCCATACTCTGATCTTGGACTTTTAGTCTCCAGGACTGTGAGATGATAAATCTCTGTTAAACCACCCAGTCTGTGGCATTTTGTTTCAGCAGCCCTACTAGACTAAGACAGTACCCTAATTCAGATTTGAAGGCCAAACTCTTTTAACTCATTGAAGCTCTGCATTGACTGAATAAGAATGTAAAGAAAAACCACCAGCTTCCCCAGAACACATAACTACTAATATTATTAATTAGTATCAAGTCTTTATATCAAGTATTATAAAAACTAGAGATGCCTTTAAAAATGGGGTATAGAGAACCAGCATATGAAAGATGGGGAAAGGATTAAGTGTAAAAGCCCAAATGAATTCCATCTCTGCTCATGTGAGAGGAATTAAATTAACAACATATATTTGTAGTTTCCTGAAATAACCCAACCACTAAGTAGAAAAGTCACTAGAGCTTTGAGGTTTGAACTCTAAGACAGAGCAACTTCCGGGCTGACTTTTCATTAACCCCATGAGCAAGAGGCTTGAACAAAACCAGTAAAGTATTCAGCTGTTCATAAAATAGCTCCTAAGAGCAAAAATGAGGCTTAGGATTGATGTGCCCAAATTCAGAGAACGCTGTTCAAAAAACTGCTATGTTATTTTTCTGACTCAAGAGGCTATTTATTAAAAGAGTCAATTCAGACCATTTACTTCAACAACTAAGATTATGGTTTTTTGGTGAGAATAGAGACTTAGCAAAATAATTTATAAGAGTAATTCAGAATACAATTTCATCAGCATAAACATCTCTCTCCATGTGTGTCTCTACATCTACCATCATGCTACGAGGTGACTCAAATGGGGAAGGTCAGGAATCCCCCATGGCCCCAGCCCATGGGTGCGTGGCATCACCATGGCTGAAAAGCAGACAAACAAGCCCCCAAATGGAAAGAGACCTGTAGTGGAAAGGGATGTGGGGATCCCCTACAGAGTGTTGTCTGGACCCATTGGATGAGCCCCCAGTCTGAGAAAAGTTCAGCTCAGAGAATACTTGAGAAGGGGAGGCAGAGTCCTAGGGTCTGATTATATGAACCAGTCAGTTTATTATTTATGCCAATTATAATTGAATTTTCTGTTACATGCAAACAGATGATCAACACAGGCCTTTCACTATGTCCTGAATTATTACTGGATTCCCTGAGATTTTTACAAGCACATATTCATGCACTAATAATGTAATTTAAAACATTTTATGTTCAAAGCAGATAAGAACTAATTTAAACACGGGTGAAATTGATTTCAAAAAGATGATTTCAGTGATTTAGTGTAACAGGTGACATTTTAACCGACTCGTTGTCTTAGTCTGTTTGGGCTGCCATAATAAAATAGTACAGACTAGGGTAACTTGTAACGAGCAGGAATTTATTTCTTAGTTCTGGAGGCTGTAAATCTGAGATCAAGGCATCAGCAGACAGTGCCTTGTTCTTGCAGTGCCTCACACAGTGGAAGAGGCGAGAGCTCTCAGAAGCCCTCTTTTATGAAGGCACTAATCCCTTTCAGGGGGACTCCACCTACATAACCCAATCATCTCCCAAAGGTCTCACCTCCTTAACACCATCGCATTGGAGTGAGAACAGAGAGAAAAGTCAGACGCTAACAGAAGTCAAGAGAAGTGCCATCTGTTTACTATCCCTATAGAGATAGCACTGTGGGCCTGGCATGCCCTAAGCACTTTGCACATACTCACCCTGAACCCTCCTACAGAAACTGAAACTCCTCTAAATGGCCCCAGGTCAATGAACACCAAAGCTGGGATTCAAACTCAGGCAGCCTGGCTCTGGACTCCATACTTTGTTACTGCTCTGTGCTGCCTCTCAAGGTCTTAATTCTATTGTACTTACTACTTACTCTTTTTCTTTCTGAGTTGGAGTCTCACTCTGTTGCCCAGGCTGGAGTGCAGTAGCATGCTCACGGCTACCCCAGTCTCCACCTGCTGGACTCAGGTGATCCTTCCACCTCAGTCTTCCAAGTAGCTGGAAGTACAGGCATGCGCCACCATGCCAACTAATTTTTTTGATTTATTGTAGATATGAAGTCCCACCAAGTTGCCCAGGCTGGTCTCAAACCCCTGGACACAGGCAATCCTCTTACCTCAGTCTCCCAAAATGCTGGGATTATAGGCTTGAGTCACTGCACCCAGCCACTACTTAATCTGTAGCAGTTGCATTGACACTGGTTACCTGAAAATAGAGGTTCCAGAAGAACTTCTGCAGACAGAGTGAATATTTCTGTTATCTACTTTTCATTGTACGTAAAACCTGCAAAGCTGTGAAGGTCTTACTTATCACAGAAGTATAAAATGATCAGGAAATTATAACCATGAGAGAGTGGCAAAGAAAAACAAAATGTTCGGCCAATTTGTAGCTGGTACACAGCTTTTCTAAATGTGGCGTCATATATTTTCAAGATCAGTATTTTTACTTGGAGATTTATGTTGGGTAAAAAATCTTACATAAAGATTCTAAATATTTGTTGGTACTGTGATACAATACAATTTTTCTTCAAATTCTTTACTATAATCTTAGTAAAGGGAAACAGTAACCTTTCTAATAAAATACATCTTTCACTTTATCTTAAATTGTTGAAGACATCTGGGGTATTCTAGCCTGTTAACAAGACAGTTGTCTTCAGCTATTTAATGGGCTGTGTCATTTTAAAGGGGCTAGATTTATTCTACAGAGCTTCATAGGCTCCAGAGTCCCAGTGGGTGGAAAAGACAGAGGGATGGATCTTAGCTCAATGTAAGAAGTGCTCTGGTCTAAGAGAGAAGACCTCACGTGGGGAGTGAAGAATAGCAAGTGTCCCACATATGGAGGCTCTCAGCGAGGGCCTGGATGAGTTTCTAGTAGTTGGG